TTCTATACACTCGTAACACACTATGTGTTTCATTTGTGTGAAATCAATTGCCATACACAAGATAACTGTCAATTCATGTTCCGACAAATCAAACAAACGTTCAGAGCCAGCATTTAAAATGACTCTGAATTGGACATTCTAGGGTTCGTGACCCGACGGTGACGGACCTCGACACTCGTAGTGGCTGATCCCACGCATTAACACATCTTATGTGTTTTCCTAGTCTACCGGAGAAGCGAACATACCCCGAGGTTGTCCTCTGTACGGCGGCCTAGCCGTTTCCCTCCCCTCGCCTGGCGCAGAAACGTATGCGACCTCTCAGCGACCGGGCGAGGGGCGGGTGCGCTTTTTTGGCTCCGTCATCCGCTCCCCGAGGCGCCGTTGGCTGCTACAATGTTATACTCGAATATATCACTCACAATATATCTCTCGAAACCACCACTTTTGCTTCATTTCGCTGATTCCCCAGCTCACCTAATGTATATTGCTACATTCTTATTGCCAATATGTAACCGCCGTGTGCCATATAATTTCTAAATTTGTATCTCTTTCCACTTTCGCCAGCTTATCTGAATACTTCCTGCTTGTTCACGACAGCTTCAATTTTGTGATAGAATGTCTTGGCATGTGACTTTTTCCCCGTCTCATATGGGTGCTTAAGTCTCTAAGTATGGGTTTTATTACGTCTTTGTGGGGTGAGGAAGCAGTGGTTCACACCTCTTAAATTTCGTAAGCATTGGCGTGCAATTTACAAGTCTTGCACTGAGCACAGTTAACCCGTCGACAGTTTTCGTTGTGTCTTCTAACTTTGATGTATTATACTAATGAGCAATTTAATGGGAGTAAACAAGAATGGTATAAGTGACATTTTATAAATTCAGAGAATTTATTCAGATAAATTCTGTTTATTTAAGTCAATATTAGTGTAAAGTCTTGATGCTTTGTTTTTTCATTAAACCAAGGCATTTTAATTGTTCATTGAAACCACGAAAATACATTGCCACTGAAATATAACCTAAAATAAACACGTTTTCCTAAGAATTTATAAAATGTCACTTACACAGTTCTGGTTTTCACCCATTCAATTTTAAGTTTTCTGCTCGCGCGTGTCGAATGGCCACCTATGAACTTCACGCACTGCTACGTGCGATCTATTTTGTGTACCACGCGGGTGAACAGAGTTGGTGGTACATATCAGGTGTGTCCTGCTGCGCCTAGTAAAATAAGTTACTAGTTCATCTGTTAGGCAATAAATTGGAAATTACAATCATGTAATAAATGTGCTTCAAACATCTTGAAACAATAAAATATGAACTGGGTTTGAATAAAACGTACGCATACAACGTGTTAAAATTTCATCTAAAAGAATGTATGTTCTCCCGACCGACTGTATAAGCAACATTTTCACTATGTTTGGCAAATAAATACGTAAGTACTGTCGTTTGTATTTTCAATACGTTGACAATCTTTATTAAATTTTGTTCAACAGCGACATCAATATCAATTGGAGATTGTTTAGAAATTGCAGGTAATAAACTGTAGAGTAATCATTCGATTTTAATTCACATCTTGATATCGTAATAAGATGGATAGATGGATAAGCAGATTGAGTTGGCCGAGTAAGTTAAACGAAACTTGGGCAACGAAGAAACAATCACAATTAACAAAATATCGAGACTGGACTTGTTCAGAACATAGAGTGCATATCTTAACTAATGCATAAAATAATATTTTAACAATGATATTCAGTGCATTAGTTAACATTTGTAGTGTTTAATTTTAAAATATGAAATATGCCTGATGATAATGTAATTTCATTATCTGGGTCTAATGTATATTCATTACCTCAATTAGGTTTTTCATCCAGTTTTCCTTTAGTTCAATCAAACGGTGCTCAAAAAGGGCAAATAGCGCAAAGTTTTGATGTAGTTTTATATTTTATTTCTCTATGTCTTTTGAGTTGCTGTAAATTAATATCAGTTTTACCAAAAAGAATTTTGCCTGAAAGCACATTTTTCAAGCAAAAAACAGTGAAAAGTCTCGGCGTGTTTCATTTCTTTTCTTCAAAATAGCCCAAAAGACATCCATTTTTAATAAATAATGAACTTTCATAAAATAAAATGAAACTACCTATATTTAATGTCGTAGAGCAAATCGGGTATCTAACAATGGAAATCGGCAAGATGGTAGGTGTTGAATTTTTCCCTGAAGTGTTGCAATGGACAATAATTATGACGTCTGTGCAATATGTTCGTGAACAGATCGTAACACAATTCCGGTGTTATAATTCACTATTCAGATCAGTACGCAGAGCGCATCAACAAGGATGGGTTAAAGCTGTATCAAAAAGTTTGCGCTGCACTTTATTTCCTTTTAATATGAAACTATCAATCAATTATGCACCATCAATCAACACTGGAATTGTGACTGACGAGATACGTAACTACCATAAGAATTGAAATGTGGACAGAAAGAGCATTGACAGAGTTAAGTAATGACTTGTCAAATGTAAAATTAAAAAAGAGTAACAATATACAGCCAATAATTGACAATAACGTACTATACAATATCTTGTAGAACAGACCACGATACGCTTCCAATGGCAAAAATCTGTATGATGTTTCAAACAATTGAATAACTTCACTCTCTTATCAAAATGAAAAGTTTATAGATTTCAATATGGTGGTTCATTTCAGCAGATCTCCAAAAAAAGGTGACCGAGAGATCTCCAAGAAAAGAAGCAAGCCCTTTTTCAGAAGATCGCCTCAATTATATTAAAAATAAAATTAAAAAAAAATTGCACGTCTATCCCCACTAAGATACAAGAAGAATCGATATATTTTTTTTTTCAAATGTTCATGATTCGGGTAACTATCGGCATTACAAGGAATGTCGATTGACAATATGATGAGTCATATTCGAAGAATTTATGAAAAGCATGAAAGGCATCTCTCATCACTGTACATGCCTTATTCCTCCCCAACATGTTTTCCCTCGAATTCATCTTTTCAAAAGCAATCGAATTTGATCTTCTCCTTTAAATTTCCCCAAAACGCGTTTTAATTGCTTAACCCAACCCAAATCATTTTTTTGATAATTCATAACAAAATTATATTTAAATACCGTCAATTTGATGAATCAATTCGTAACAGTTCAAGTGTAAATTTCGAAAAGAGGGTAACCAACAAGAGTACAGTAATTAACAACATTGTGTATGTAGGTGCATGGAAACCATAAAAACCACGTGTTTTTCAACACTTTTCTTAGAAATGTGCCTATCGATTTGTCTTGTTCTGAGGAATCGATAGAGGTATTGATCACCTCTGTGGATGAAGTAAGTCACCCCGTAAACACTTTTTTTAGAGAAATTTCTTAGTCTTCTGAATGCATCAGCAAAACAATGAAAAGTTCCCTGCAAGAAAACAGAGACGTGTTGAAAGACACTTCATTTGTCTCGATTAGGAGTTGGATGGGATCTGACCGCGAGTGATGGACGGACGGACGGACAGACGGACGGACGGACGGACGGACGGACGGACGGACGGACAGACGGACGGACGTAGATTACTCGGTATGAGGAGTAAACTTTCGCAGTCACTATCCAATTACATCCGACCGCACGGAAATTAATGAACCGGTTTAAAAATAATCATTGTTTGAAAACTGAAGATTTGGGAACGATGTAACCTACGTAACCAAAGGCCTCCAGCAGACCCTCCTTCCTTGCAACCATACTCGGAGTATCGTCTGTCGGCGAGAACGCGGATGCTCGGCAAAGGCTGAAGCGTCATCGGCGAAGAATAGAGAAAAAGGGAGATAAAAAACCTGGAGGGAAGAAAAGAGAATCGGATGGAAAGAGGAAATAGAAAGAGAAGGAAGATAAAGAGAGCGAAGGGAAATATAGGGGAATTACAGAATGAGAAGAATGCTACAGCTAAAGGGAAGGAGAGAAAGAAAATGTGGTGTGGAGCGAAATAGGGAGAGAAGAAAGATACGAAGCACTTCTTTTTTTCGATATCAGAAAATTTGACATTTGACATACTCAGATGCAACTGCCATCCTGACATAAGTAAGACATACGTAGGAGAGCACCTATGGTGTGCTACGGTGTTACACTAAAACCATTCCCAAGACTTTCGCCACTTGGCCCACCGTCCGCCATTCTCTCACCAGGCCACCATCATCCTTTAGCGAGTGAGAGAGCGAGCGAGAGAGAGAGGGCATATTTCGCGGTGACGGTTACACGAGGCAGTTGGTGCTATGGTGTTGGATTACCAGGAGATTGGCCATTGGCCGACCGTCCCCCTTTCTCTCATTAGGCCATCTTCATCTTCTAGCCAGACAGAGAGCGCACTGTGGCGGTTACCGATTCTACGAGAAATTAGGTGCTATGGTGAAGCACTATATCCATTCCCAAGAGATTTTTCTCTTGGCCTACCGTCCCCAACCCTCCCACCAGGCTATCATCATCTTCTAGCCCGAGAGAGAGCGTACTTTGTTGTGGCGGTTACAGATTCTACGAGGCAGTTGGTGCTATGGTGTTGGATTACCAGGAGATTTGTCACTTGGCCAACCGTCACCCTTTCTCTCATCAGGCCCTCTTCATCCTCTAGCCCGAAAGAGAGCGTACTTTGCTGTGGCGGTTACAGATTATTCGAGAAATTAGACGCTATGGTGAATCACTATATCCATTCCCAAGGGATTTTCCACTTGGGCCACAGTCCCCCATCCTCCCACTAGGCTATCATCCTCTAGCCCGAGAGAGAGAGAGAGAGAGAGAGAGAGAGAGAGAGAGAGAGAGAGAGAGAGAGAGAGAGCGTATTTCGCTGTGGCGGTTACAAATTACACGAGACAGTAGGTGCTATGGTGCAGCAAAAAACCCATTCCTAGAAGAGTTGCCACTTGGCCGTCCGTCCCCCTTTCTCTCATCAGGCCGTCTTCATCCTCTAGCCCGAGAGAGAGAGAGAGAGAGAGAGCGTATTTCGCTGTGGCGGTTACAGATTCTACGAGGCAACAGGTGCTATGGTGTAGCATTATATCCATTCCTAAGAGATTTTCCTCTTGGCCTACCGTCCCCCATCCTCCCACCAGGCTATCATCATCTTCTAGCCCGAGAGAGAGAGCGCATTTCGTGGTGGCGGTTAAAGCTTCTACGAGATAGTAAGTCCTATGGTGTAGCACTAAAGCCATTCCGTATAGATTTGCCACTTGGGCCATCGTCCCCCGTCTCTACCCCTGCACACTTCAGCCGACGACCCCCGATGGGGGGGGGGGGGGAAAGGGTCATTTCGCGGCGGCGGCGGCGGGTGCGAGCGCACCGCCAGCGTTGTAATGGACCGCGCCCCTCCGCACCACTGCCGCCGCCGCCGCCGCCGCCGCACCGACCTTATATGAGGGCAATCGGCGACGCAGCGCCAGTCGCGCAGGCGCAGGGGGCGGCGGAGGCGGAGGCGGCTGGCGCAGCAGCCTCCACTCTCGCACCGCCGCCGCGTGGACCACAGCAGCCTTGCCCGGCGGCGCCAGAAGCAGCGCCGACTGCGGGCCTCTTCTCTGCGGGCGGTGTTCCTCAGGGTGACGTTGATTACTAGTTGTGCACGCGCCTGCGCGTGTGGCTTCAAGAGGGCGATCATTCGCGAAGGTTGGACGCTTTTGGATGAAGTTTAAAATGTATAAAATGAGGAGCGCTAGTTTCTATTGGGATGAAACACCGTTAACCTGCGACACCCAAATCTTTTACGATTAAGAAATTTAGTTTATATATATTTCGTATATACATATAGAGATAGGTAGATAGATAGATAGGTCAATTGATATGAAGTTTGTCAATCACAATGGAACTTTGTACATCAACTTCATTCACAAGAAAACACATACACTCAACGACGCTTAGAGACTAATTTATTACGTATAGGAATGTAATTAGTCAATAAATTCCAAGTGCCATTGAAATGCAAGTGCAAGCACTGCAGGCAGCCTATTTATGTGCCAATGCAGAACAGCCGTATGTTTGATTGTCGTTTTTAATTAAAAATTGTGCATGCATATAAAATGCTCCATTGTAGGTCAATTTATACGTATCAATTAACGTCACTAATCCGATACAGCGCAAACAACGGTCGCGGCTCACGTTTGTTACGGCTCAAGCGAGCCGTTAGCTGAAGTCTATGACTTAGCAAGTCTGTTGTTTGTGATATCGGTCGTGGGTCGTTTAATATTTTACGTACATTTTATTCTTATAGGAAACGTTCAAAGGATTAGGAAACTTCTTTATCTGAAAAGGAGTACTCTTACGTCAGCGATTGAAACGACTTATGTCTTTCTATTGTTTTTAATGTCCGACAGACTATTAAGTTCTTAACGGATGCCGGCATTAAGAGTGAATTTTTGTTCTTTTGTTTCTCGTCGATGTGTCAAAATTACAAAAAAATAAATTAAACAGTATTCTAAAACCATCAAATACTGGCTAGATACAATTGATATTCTTCAACCGTTCTGAAAATTTGTATGCTACGTTTACGTACGAAAAGGGGGAGGTTGATGTAATTGCCATCTTGCCGAATGAATGTCCGCCGTAATGTAGCCATTCACGATGCAGGCATTTTGAACAGGTCTGGAGCATCGATGTTCTGCTGTTTCTAGAGCCTTTGCGTCTTTAAGAAGTGACGATAGTACCAAGTTCCATTGCCATTCCGGATGCGTTTTTTTCAGGGGGAACTCAAGAAACTACTCTCAACTCCTAATCTCAGCAAATGCCAACAGAGTGGTCAATTGAATTGAATTGAATTGAATTAATACCTTATTTTACGTGGCGAGTCTCGAGCCATCAGGCCCGCTCTCAAATTTCGCTACGCTCCTTTCAGCAACTAGCGGAGAAAGGAGGTATTTCTTGGGCGAGAAACAGGCGATTTTGAATTTAGCTCAGAGGCGTCATTTAGGCTTGAGGATCTTTTACATGCAAGTGAATCTACAAAAATGGGACAGCCGGCTTTACTTCTCCTCCGAAGGAAGAAAGACTTTTTCGCTCTTAAAAATTCCACGGTTTGAACCCGTCAACTTAAGTATACCAGTCCGATACGCTAACCGTTACACAATCGCCGCGCGCAATCAATCATACTTATTATTACGCAGCTGAAGCAGAGAAGCGCAGGTGTCGAAACGCCATTTCGATACTGCATTTCGGTAGTCTGGTGTACGGCTTCGTACGATTTTGCATTCTTCTTCATAATAAATCTAACGTTCCGTTACTGGGATGTTTTCGGTGCGCGCGAGATCCGGAACCTAACACGTTACTCACAATGACTTGGTGCACCAGGCTCGAATGTTCGCGTTGATCGTATGTTCCTTAGTAAAGCGAACGTGATTTGAACTCGAAGCTACGTACCTTCAAACCTTTTACGCTGTAAGAAAACGTCGGTTGCGAACTTTCTAAAAAGATAATACTTTATAAAGCACGAAGCAAAATAATTCAAGATTTGTTGCGTTTAAATTTTTCGTTCCGTTTCGAATAAATGTTTATCTAACATTCCACTAGCACTTGCACATAAAGTTCTTGACTTTATCCACAGTCAGCGTCTTTAAGTAGTTTATTAAATCTATTATATATTTCAATATTGTTGGTATGAAATATAAAAGGAAAATTAAGATGAAATATAAAACTACCGAAGTGAATAAGACGCAAGAAGCCATTCCTTGAACATTTTCAATTTATATTAGCGTTATTTAATACATTAAAATAGTAAATTGACGTTTTGCGTCTCTTGTTGTTTATATATTTTATTTTCAATCATTATTTCTTGCATGGGAAACACGTTGAATGCATGTGATTAGTGTCAGTTGCGGCAAGTGAATAATGCTTAATGGTCCTGTGCGCCAGGATGTGGAGGGTGCTTCGTATGTATCCTGGTTACAGAATCCTCCTTTTGTGATTTAAGGGAAGCATTGTTTTACGTTGTTCCCTAACACCCAATAAAAAAGAAAGTTCAAGGCTGAAAAATTCTACCCCAATATAATAACCTGAGCTCCTCGAGAGCGCATTAGTTAGTCTCTGAGTGATTCAGTGAATGAGTCACCGATTTTATTTCTCGAAATTAACAAAATTTATAAAAATCTCATTTTGTACATTACGGCATACGTGTATTACACATCCCGTGTTGGGGAAACGAAAACCTGGCATTAAGAGCTTAGGAAACATGTTTCCGAGTAATGCACGATGGTAAGAGGCGTTGAAACATAACGTGTGTGGTGGGCTGCTAATGGGCACGTCGTTCTTCTTAAAACTTGAATCTGGGAACAATTTTAATTTTTTTTTTAGTCCTGAAGGGTAAATCTCTATTGATAATAACACACTTAGGAGGTTTCGTGTCGACAATGTCTTAAAAAATGATACAAAATTGTCATCTTCTCTTAACGTATAGAGAAGGGTCCATTTAAGCTTTGAACATAGATGCATCGCTGCAAAGATCTGCGAGCCTTTGCAAATTAGAATCATGAAACAAATTTTCCTTTGCCTAGATGTACCAAGTTTATTTCAACAAAATATTTTTAAACAATGTTTCAGTGTATAAAATGTACTAGGTGTGACATATTGTATGAGAAATTTGTTCACCTCTCCAAAAGACTCATATTTGATACAAACTCTCAAGTTGCGATCACAGTAAAGCCGATTTCGGCAGACATTGAACGTTTTTGTCCCACGTAGCAGATTCGTTCAAACACGTGATGGTCAATGGAAATAACCGTACGACTCTTCCGATGCCATTCGAAAACATCAACAGTCGGACGAAGATCCGGGTCATTTGATTTTGTCCCAACGACGTCGGCCGACCAAAATTTCATCCAAAATCGGCTCCTTTGTTACCGCCGCCCAAGGAGTGGTTGAAATAATTGGTCGGAACGGGTCGCGGTCGCCAGAACGCAGAACTCGGTTCCGCTCTGGACTCTTAGAAATGCCTGGGGAACGACTCATATTTCATGTGAAGGTTGTACAAGTCATCCATATGTAGTGTTGAGAGACCGATATGCAAATATGTTTCACTTTATTAAATGCTTAGTTAAAGTCGGTGGTGTGATGTACAGCGAGAAAAATAAGATAAAATAACAGACGAATCTGCTGCTTGGATGATCTACTATTTTATTGCTACTTATGCGAGTTACGCAATCGGTTTCGTGAAATTAAAGGAATAAACGCTTCTCGAACAATTGCTACAAACATTCTTCATACTATTTTCAAAATAATTCGTTCTCTTTAGGGTTGAGCAAAATATGCTTATGGAGATAATGTTTGAATGAAATGATTCGTTGAAGTATGCGTCAGAGCAATGGCATGAACGCCATGTAGGATACCAGTTGAAAAGTGTCATTGTCCAGACGTTCCTTAAAAGTTATGAACTGTATTATGTAGGCAATTTTGAGGGCAAGTTTTTCATATTGAAGGGAGAGAAACTACTCCAATAGTCGCATGAATTTCTCAAAAACGCAATAAGTAATATTTCTTTGGAAGTAAAGGTAGTTTTATGGATTGTAATAACATCATTTTCCTTAAGTCTTAACTTTCAAAACTCAATCGAATTTTATATTTAATTAAAAAATATGTACGTTCCCATTTGGTTGCACATTTGGTTTAGTAGACATTTTAATAGAATGCATTGATTCAGAACAAACTAATTATACTCATGAAAAATTTCTGAAGAATTGTTGGGATAAAATTTATTGTTCCGTTTACTTGTGATTTCTTCGAACTTTCTGGCAAGTTTCTTTTTCTCCTATTTTGTGCTCACTACCAGTGTATTTCAATATAAAATAATTAGCCCAATTTTGCATCTATGGTGGAGGTAATAGAAAGCAATATACCGCGTCCTCATGAAAACATGTTGATCAGATCCCCAACTGAGTTCGCCAGTAACATATTTCATGTTTCGATTGAGTACGAAATTTATTGTCGGTGCTAGGTATTTAAATCAGGAAGATCAAATTTTTGACCGATCATTTTTAGGTCTGTCATTATATCCCCAAGTAATTAAATTCATCGTTGATTATGCATAGTCGAAATACCAATAATTATTATATCAAACTCTCTTTTAGTAACAAATCTCGCCAACACACCGACACCGCAGTATTAACGGAAGTTGGTCCGAAATATGTTGTTGCTGAATTATGTGCAGTCCTAGTTACTTCTAAGTATATCCGTACACAGATTAAATGAAGAGGGGTGCCAACTTCAATTTTTTTCTATTAGTTTTTATTTACTCATGGCATATTTCATTAGTAAATAAATAAATCATACTACAAGAAGAATAAAATTATATTTTTAATTATACAATTTATTTTGTGTCGAGTCATTCACAGGGTTGTCAGATTTCATGGACAGTCCCGTCCGCAAGTGTGTTCCAAAAGGAGGGAAATCGGGGTCAAAAAGGAGGGAAATCGTAAATTGAAAGTATTTACGGAAATAATGTTTTATTTCGTGAGTCAATGGGGCATATTCATGGGGTTCAAACCATTCAGGTGATTCATGGCTCACCCTGGTCCCTTCTCTGCACGCCCAAGCGACTAAGATTATGTAAATTCCAACC